TGGCAGTGTCCTTTGGCAGGATGTGGTGTGTGCTGCTGCCAGCATGTCTCACTGATGTGACACATGGATTGCAGTAGAACAAAGGAAAGCTCAGGGGGCATCTTCTGGCCTGGGAGGTGGTCACGCTGAGAAGGGTGAAGTAGAGGGGTCAGACTCTGTTCCTCTGGGAGGGCCGCAGAAACTTGCTGTTAATGCCTTAACGCTGTTGATGTTTTGCCTCTCTGCTCCTGCAGGTGATGCTGGTGATCGACGCTGCTGTGAGCCACCTGGAGAACTTGTCCCGCCTGGAAGAGTACCTCTGCAACCTCGGCAAGAAGCACCAGGCAGTCGGTGTGAAGGTCGAGTCTTTCTCGGTGAGGAGTCCTCTCTTATCCCACTATGGCTGTGTGTGTGCAGCCCTGCCTGCAGCCCTCAGCTATCCCCATCCCGCTGCACCCACTGCATGTATTCAGCTGGTTGGAGCAAAAGCTGATGGCTCAGGGAAGTCCCCAAGCTGCTGATACCTGCCGAGTGATGTTGGCTCTATCAGGGAAACCCTTTAGCTATGCTCGTTTTCTGCCCTCCCCAGTAAGCCCAGGGATAATGGACAAACAGGAGCAAGGCATTCAACCTGCTTGAAGAGGACCATGATCTGGGGGACTGCACGATCAGCCTTTGCCCTGGGTCCTGCATCACTACATCACATGCTCTAGGCAAACCTCACAGCACCTGGGAAAAGGAGCATCCAACCCCCTCTGTATCTGTGCTGGAGTGGGGTTCCTGCACCTCAGCCCCTGTTTTCTCCATGGCAGTAAGACAGGATCATCCTCCGTGTTATACCCTTGCTTACTCCTGCCATCAAGCATGGACAGAAGTGCTGGATAACCCAGCAGAAAAGGGCAGGTTGAAGGAAAGGTTTCTAACTAGTCCATGGCTCCCTCCTGTTACTGCTAGCTTTGGCCCTTTTCAGAGGGAGCAGGGCCCCCTTTGCTTGAGGTGGTGACTCCCACCAGTCCTGTGCTCAGAGTGCCAGTGCTCTTGGATGGAGTTGCTTGCAGCTCCCTGTGGAGCAGCCTAAGAGGTGGTGAGGCAGACCTTGAGCATCCAGCCTGGGGTCTGACCAACTCCTCTGGCATCAGGGCATTGCTCAGCTCTGCTGATTGCTGCTATGCCGGAGCATTGGTCTGGCTACCTCTATCCGGGGACAATGGACGTGTACAAGTGTGGTCAGCCCTTGCTCCCTGCCTGCACCCCCTGCTCACCCAGGGTGCAGGGTGAGGGCCAGCACAGGGTAGTAGAGGGGGAGTGGTGTGGCCTGGCTCCACTGTTGGAGGAGGAGCAGCTACCCTGCAGTGGGAGAAGTCCAAGAAGGTGGTGAAGTGAGAGAAGGGGCTGCGCATTGTGCCCTGGTGCTGAGCTTGACATTTCCCTGTTTGTTTTGCAGACTGTTGGTGAGTCCTTGCTGTACATGCTGGAGAAATGCCTCGGCACTGCCTTCAGCCCAGATGTGCAGGAGGCCTGGAGCAAACTCTACGGTGCTGTGGTGAAAGCCATGCAGCGTGGCTGGGACACCCTTCCAGAAGGTGACTAGATCCTGCCAGGCACCCCCACCCCTGACCACACAGCAGTCCTGGGCAGGGGGAGTACTCGCACCATGCTCTTTGCCTCTCTCCACCTCTGTCTTTCTCTGTGCACCAGCCCAGCGTCATCTTCTCCAGTCATGCATGGTTTGGGGCTCTCCCAGTGATTCCACCTTGCTTTGACACAATCGCATCTCTGCCTTTGCTAAGGGCTGGCAGGGTATGTCTCTGCAGTGAAGCCTAGGAGAGCCACAGTACAGGTATGCTGCCCTGCCCCAAGTTCCTTCAGGCTAGCTGGAGCACCCATGTACCTACTCTGTTTTTTAGCTGGCTCATCTTCCCTCTGCTTGCTGCCCGCCCTAGTTAGATGACAGCTAGCATAGGCCTCTCAGGCTTATTTGCCCAAGATCCTATTTGCTCAAGACTGTTCACTCCTCCTGCGCTGCTGTGCCCCATTCAATTGTGGCAATGGTGGATTTGGCTCCCTGCAGGGGCAGAGGCAGCAGAGGTGAGGCCTGGCCATGCCATATGGCTGTCTTCTCCAAACTATGTGGGGACTTTTTCTCCCTCTCCTTTCAGCAACACATCAGTACCAGATAGTTAATCATCTCTTGTTTTGCCTCTCCCCTGGATGAGATCCGTGGCTTTTCCTTGTGTCAGGTTGGCCACAACTCAGTGTATTTCCTAGGGATGCTTTGGGCAGCAGAGTCACGTTAATCACAAGGTGAGGCTGCTTTTAGCAGGTCTGGGCTGCCAGCTGAAAGGCTTCGTGTTGGTTTGGCTGGTTGGTTTAACCCCCGAGCCAGCTGAAATGCAGCAGCAGCAGTGGCTCTTTACTGCTTTGTGTTAAGGAGAGTAAAGTAAATACAAGGAAAAGATGTCTTAAAATAAAAACGAAGGTTGTAATCATGTCATGGCAACAGCTTCCAGAAATCATTCCTGGCTCTTAGCCAGAGGAAGCATAGCTGGAATTTCTCTGTTGATGCTGTCAGGACCTGGAGCACTTCCCAGCTGCACACAATGCCCATCTGCGGAGCTCCTTGCCCTTTAGTAAACCCTACCGGCCATACTTCAGACACAGCTGATTCAGAGCAAAGGGAGGCACCCAATTAGCTGTGTGCAGCAGGATGGAAATGAAAAGACAGCATCTGCCAGAAGAAGTCACAGAAAATAGCTGAAAGGCAGCACCTGAGGTCTTGGGGGGGGGGGGGGCAGAGCTGAACTTGAGCACTTTGAAGAATTGTTCATCTTCGTGGGGAAGTAGCTGAGGGACAGGCAGAACCGTGTTTCCAGCCGTTACTTGCCCCAGGACAAGGACATGGAGCAAGTGTTCAGTTATTGTTCAGGCAGTGCCATTTTTGCTGCTACTTCAGGGCAGGAGGAGCATGGCACTGAGGGCTGAGGTGGTTCTGTTCTAGAGATGGGTTCCTCCTATGTTCAACACCTTCCAGAAGAGCAGTGGCTGGGGGGAGGCACTAGGTGTGACGGAATGGTATGGGGCAGGAGGGTTTGGGAATAGGGATATCCTCTGTGTAACACTGTACTGGGGCAACAGCCTTCAGCTCATGGGGGAGAACCTTCTGGCTCTAGGTGATAGGTAGGCAGCTGTGTGATGGGTGGGGTGTGATGTTACTGCCCCAAACCATCCCTGCTCCCTCTAGCTTTCCCAGCTCCTTGAATTCTCCTCTTCTGTACCACATCTCGTGTAACTCCCAAGAGAACTGAACTAGTCTGTGTGCCTCTGATACCCAGCTGTACTGTTTAATAAAGAAGAACAGTGAATCTTGGCCCTTTTTGCTGCCTTATGTTTATTTTAACTTAAAAGGCCCAGGCAAGCAAAAAACCCAAGGATGACTGAGAGGGGTTTGCTGCTTTCTTGTTGACTGTAGCTTTGGAGATATTTGTCACTGGGAGTGCTTGCGTAGGCCAGCTCGATTGACATGAGAAGGCACCCAACACCAAATGCCTATTGGGAGCTTTTGTGCACTCTAATCGAATGGGTGAGCAGTGTTGGGGCTAGCAAAAGCATCCTGCTGCTGATTTGATTGCTCATTACCCTTCAAATTTCATGACCTCTAATGGAATTAGAGTTTTAAGCAACCAGCCTAAGAATCCTTTTTCTGCTGTTCAGCTGCCGGTTGTTCTTTGAGACAGCATAGGCTTGTCTGCTGCTGGTCACCCACTGCTGCAGGTAACCACAGCAACAGGGCATGGCCTCGCAGGGAAGCCTTGGCTGGCTTCATGCAGCATCTGCCCTGCCAGCTGGACTGCCTGAGGGACCATGGTGGGGATGCAGGACGTCCTGTCTCCCCCTTCCGAGAGCATGTTCTAGCTTTGACATGGTGGGTTTCCAGCTCTGGAAGTCGCGCGCTTGGTAGGGAAGAAGGATGGTCCCTAGAGCAGAGAAGCCAGATCAGGTCTGAAATAGCATCTCCTGGAAACCTCAGCCCCGACACAGGAGAGGACAGTAAGCTTCCTGGGAAAACTGCTGCTCTGCCCTGGGCAACGTTTAGGATACGGCTTTCTGCAGGGAAATGTGCAGCTGGCTGGGAAGGGCAAGGAGAACAGCAGAGATCTGAAAGAATAGAAATCCTCCCTGTGGTTCGTTGCTAAAATCAGTGTTCCAGCATGCTGCCCTGTTACCACTAATTATTAACCGTGTGTGTGTTTCTTTGGGGGTGTGTGAAAGGGGAGTGGGGTTTTGAGTTTTGCAGTTTTCCACCTCTCGTGCCCCCTGGCCTCTGCCATGAGATAGGCTGGCCAGACAGGGCTCATCCCAGAGGAGCTGTGGAGGAGCCAGCTGGAGGGACCTGCTGAAACCAGAGGCAAATCATTCAAATAAGGATTTGGGTACAAAGAATGTGTTTTGGGAGGGAGGAGAAGAGGAAGAGTGCTGTCTGCTTAAAACCTAGAGAAAGGTTCCCAAAATGGTGTCCACCCCCTTCCACAGGATGTTCTGGTGGGCAGTTCAGCTTTGGAAACATCTGCTCCATTCCTAGACGGGATTGATCATCCTGCTCCTTGCTGTTATCCCACAGTAGTTCCAGTCCAGCTCCCTCCAGGCAGTGTGTACCTCTCTGGTGGTGTCCCGAGCCAGCCCTGCCTGTGGAGGGGAGGCACATGCCTGTCCCATGTCTGTGATGGTGCCAAGGGCTGAGCCAGCCTTACCGAGGGGATAAGGAGGGTACTCCCCAGATCTTGCTGCTTCTGCCCATTCACTAGGGTTTGCATCTCTGGGGACCATGGAAGTCAGCAAGGTGCCTGCAGGTGACAGGAGGTGTCCTTGACACTGAAGCATCTGCAGAACGTCCCCAGGACAGCTCAAAAGCAGCTCACAGGTGGGGAAAGGGTCCAGGGTACTTCTGCAGCCTGCAGTGGCGATGGTCCCCATCTACTGGCACTGGGAAGGGTGCCTGGGGTGTGATAATGCCAGGCAAGCCACTGGGTGAAGTCATTTTATTCAAGGCACAGTCATAGCAATAAATCACAAGAAGGTACAGACCTCTGGCACATTCCTACAGCGGGGCAGCCAAGGGCAGTCAGACCAGCAGCCCGAGCTCCCAGGGGTGCAGTGCCACTCACAGGCACTTGCTCTCACCCAGAGAGAAATCACCGGCACCCTGCGTCTCCCAGAGCAGGCAGTGAGGGCAGCAGCTCAGTTGCAGGCAGCCCCCGCAGGAGCACCTGGGCAGGGAGCCATGAGACCACAGGGTGTTCTCTGGGGCTGGGAGGGAGGGGCTGAGCTCAAGGGTCCCCTGAGACAACCCCTTGGTGACTACCACGTCATAGCCACTGCCCTGGCATGCAGGAGTGAGAGATGGGGCCCATGGGTCTGCCAGCTGGCTGAGCCGAGACCCATCAGCCCCACAGGAATGCCTCAGGGCCCAGTTGAGTCCAACTGTGACCCACAGCTTGCTGGTGACCTGCCTTTAACTCCCCCTGGGCTGACACACCATGCCCCCTACTCTCAGCGGCACCAGTAATGCTAAGCAGTGCCATAGCTGAGCCTCTGCCATTGTGCAGCGGCACTCACCATACCAGCAGCGCGGTGCTGGCACACCTGTGTCATCATCCTTTCCTGCCCTGCATGGTCCTGGGATAGCGGCTGGAATTGTTCTGAAGCCAGGAGGAAAATCAGGAGTAGGAAAATCAGCCCCAGGGCCAAAGCGGGGCCAAGCGAGGAGCCAGAACACCCTGGTGGGCTAGCCTGGTGGGAGAGGGGCCAAGCAGGGCAGGGATCTGCCCTCGTCCCCAGGGGTCTCCCCAGCTGCTGTGGATGAGCTGGAGCCCTCTAGGATGCCTGGGCAGAAGCTGGCACATTTACAGCGATCACTGCAGGACTCACTCCAGAGGTGGTGTGGCTGCTGGGGAAATCCCATGGCTGTGGCTTGTGGGCAAAGGCAAGGATGCAGTGGACCAGAACCCAGAGGCCAGGATCCTTCCAGCCCCCTTCCTCCCCACCATTTCTGTTGCAACAGGACAGAGCCACACTGGATCCTGTGGCCATCCCCGGGGAGAGCATGAGCACAATAGGGATGCTGCCAGGGTGAGTGAGATGATGAGGAGCTGCCCTCACAGCCGTTAAGCACACTTGTCCCTTGACCTCCCATTCCTCCCCAAAGACCCAAGAGCACAGGCATGGTGCAGCAGGCTGAGGGTGGGCCAGGGAAGAGCTCAACTTGTGTTTTGATGCCTGCCTTGGGGCAGAGCCAGTGCGGGAGCAGCCCAGGGCACTCACCTCCTACACCAAAGCACACGGGTCTCGGAAGTCCCTGCTTTAATGGACAAAGCCATGGGGGCAGCAGCAGGGGTGGCCAGACGCCTGCACAGCCGGCACCACGGGAGGCAGCCGGGTGGCCACCATGAGCAATGGGTAGGCAGAGTGTGAAGCAAGGGTTAGGGGTGGCTGTCCCTTGCCACTGGGGACCTGCGGATAGAGTGGCAGCAGGCACATTCATCTCAGCTGTCTGGGCTGCTTCCTTCTCATGGAGGGGCCAGGGCCTCCTTCCTGCCCCAAAAGCATGGCCTCTCAGAAACAACCTCTCCCTATACCACTGCACCCCATCTTCTCCACGATGGGCTGGAAGAGGCAGGTGGGGATAGGGGAGCAAGGGGAGGGACTGAGCCAGTCCAGGCAGCTGGAGGGACTGTCAGAGCCTCCCACCACCTCCCATACAATGGGGTCTCCCCCTCACATCAGCCCTGTCATCCCCTCACCCCATCACTGAGGTGGCCCCCACCAGTGATGGGAAGGCCCCTGCCTTCCTGTCCCCGGCACGTCTTCCACTCTTCTCCTTTGCTCTGGGTACGGCTGGTCCTCGCCCCAACAGTGGGGATGCTCACTGGTAGCGGGCCTGGCTCTCCATCACGGGGCCACTCCTGTACTCTCCCTCCACTGTCTCCAGCTCTGTCTCGAAGCTCTGCAGTGCCTCGTCTTCCCCGTCCTCTGCTGGCTCCAGGTGGTTCCCCATGGTGCCGTAGGACTGGTGTGCTGGGGAGGCCGCTGGCGTCAGGCTCAGCTCAGGCTCCTGCAGGACCGTGGCCACAAAGAGCTGCCCCAGGGGGCAGTGGGGAGTTAGGGCCCAAGGAGCAAAGGGTGTGACTGTGGTGGGGCTGGGGAGGGATACTTACATTGGAGTTGGGGGTGGAGGAAACGCTGCTCCGCTCCACATCATTGAAGGTGCCCTCAGACTGGTCAGACATCTGCGGAGAGGGAGGTCAGGAGGAAAGAAATGATGGTCTGGGGGTCCCCAGATGAAGTCAGGGGGGCAACAAGGCACCTCCTCAGGCTCCCCAAGGCAAACACAGCCCAGAGAGGCAGGGAGGGGATGCAGTGGGGTGACGGAACAGGATGGGTGGCTGCCTGTGCTCACCTGGTAGCTGGAGGGTTTCCGTGGCTGCAGTTTCTTCAGGCAGAGGCCAAAGAAGGAGAAGACAATGCAGGAGAGGAGGACCACAAAGGTGAAGAGGGTGACAGGGCGGGTAGGACCTAGAGCACAGAGACACTAGGAAGCACATGAGCCTCCAAGGACCTGCTGCACATCCAGCTGAGACCCACACTGGTGCTTGCTTTGGGTGTTACACGCCCTCAACCCGCTTCCCAGAACTCTGACACTCCCCTCATCTGCCAAGTCTCCAACACATCTTCCCCCTTCCCACCCTCCATGTCAAGCCTAACTCAGGGGTGACACCAGTGGCTCATTTGCCCAAGCATCAGATGTGACTCTCAGCAGAGGCAGTCCCAGTCTTTCCCTACCAAGGCGCAGGACGGAGAAGAAGAGCAGCCAGAACATGCAGAGGATGGGGGCCACCACGACCTGGCTGATGGCAGCAACATGGAGGCGCTGGTTCAGCTTGGTGGGGATGTACACATAGTAGATGTTGTACCGATCAACCATGTGCTTGAGCAGCATGTAGAGCAACCCTGGCAGGAGGAAGAGGGGCCTTTGAGGGGAGGATAATGGGGACAGGCAGGTCGCAGGGACAGCAAAGCAGGCCCAGAGGATGATGCCCAAGGGTGCCTTCCTGTACCATACAGGAAGCTTGTGCTCCCACACCACTGCTGGTGGCTGAGACAGGCTGTTTGCACAGCCAGGGGCAGCAGGACCATGGGCCACAGATCATACTCACCAAAGGGGACAATGATGGGGCAGGTGATGCTGTAGGTCATGACGACGGAGAAGATGCAGCAGGTCCAGGCATACTCCAGTCCAAACTGGAACTGATAGGCTTGGCTCTGGGGCACAACCAACAGCATCGTTACTGCCTCTGCTGTTGCAAAGGCTGCAATTGCCTTTGCATCCCAGCCAACAAGATTGCCTTCCCCTGCTAGCCTCTATGAGGCCAGAAGTCCCCACAAGCCTCCTCACAGGACCCAGACAGCCTGAGTTTCCAGTTAGCACATCCCTGCTGTGCCCGGGGTTGTGCAGGCTCAGAGGTGAGCAGGGCCACGTACCCGCTTGATGTGGAGCCGCTCGGGCTCAGACTTGGCAAAGCAGAGGCGGGTGGTGTAGACAAGGAGGCCTGGGATGCGCAGCAGCTCCATGGCTGTCCCGATCAGGCTGGAGGTGACCACGTAGTTGACAAAGAAAGCGCCGTTGTCTGGGAGGAAAACGCACCTGCCGCAGGGGCGCAGAGGGTGAGAGCAGGCAGGCGACCAGGAGAGCCGCTCTGGGCTGGTTTGTTGGGTGCTCCAGGAGGTTCGGGAGCTCCTGGCTACTCACTGGAACTTGATATCAGCCTGGTCCAGAAAGTGGGTGTCGAAGAGCCAGCGGAAAAAAAGGTCCAGGCTGGAGCAGGGAGAAGAGGAGCAGCTCAGAGAGAGGGGGAGCTGCAGAGTGATATGGGGGCACCCAGAGGGTGTGTGCTTCGCCCTGCCCTTGGTAGGTGGGACCCCCTTGGACCCTACACTGCCAGAACAGACCCTTCTGCCACACGTGACCACCATAGCATGGGTGCTTGCCTCCTGGATGGTCAGGATTGCAGACACCTGACCTTGTCCTTTCAGGGTCTGCTGAAAGGCTGACCCCAAGCAGGGCTCCACCACCACCCAAGGGTTAGCCATCCCCTTCCCTCCTCCTCCGCAGGGAATCTTTCTGTCCATGCCAGGGAGCAGGGGGAGCAGTGTAGAGGGCAGTCTGTACCTGCTCAGCCCCAGTGAGGGCAGGATGATGACCATGAACACCAGGAAGAAGAAGCACTTGTGCATGGTGAGCTGATTTTCACTTGACCTGCAGAGAGGGGGGGCAAGACAAAAACATTCCATTTCTCCATGGCAGAGCAGCTGGTGGGGAGCATCTGCTGCAGCCCTGGGGGAGCCAGCCCTGTTACCTTGTCCAGTGTGACTCGAAGAATGCCGAGTAGTAGACGAGGAAAGGCAAGAAGACAGAGAAGGCCCAGAGCAGCAGTGTGGGGAAGAACTGGGTGATGATGGGGTTCTGCAGGAGGAGAGGTGCCGGATATCCCTTCAGTAGCCTGCCAGAGCTCAGCTGTGTTGGAGACAGCTATCCAGGCCTCCGGGCACAACATGGTGTGTGCAAGGGGCAGGCTGGGGCATCCCCTCTCTGATCAGGGACACTTGCTTCAGGAGATAAGGGGTTGAGGCCAGCCAAAGGCACCATGGGCATGCTCTGAGCCCCAGTGCCTGTCCTGTCCAGAAGCTCACAGGTCAATGAGCAGGAAGATGTGCTGCTGGCAGCTCCTAACACCTCCTGGAGCTCTTCCCACCCCTCTCTTCTCACATGGACACCAACCTGCCCTCTTCAATGGACACCACTAAGAAAGCTCAAATTTGCACAGATGCCCAGGGCTCTGCCACTGGAAACACAAGAAGAGGATGGATGGCAAGCAGGGGCATGACCACTCCTTGCCTCTCATCAGCACTCATCCCAGTGATAGCTCATTTTCTTGGGCCATTGTAGATGCCCTCTCCCCATCATGGACAAGCATGGAAATGGAGACCTTTTGGGAAAACTGGCATGGGGCCCCAGGGACTACCTTGAGGCTTTCCACGGGGTGTGTGACATTGAACATGTCCATAGTGTTGACAATGATGGCTGGCGTGGTGAGGAAGAAGAGAAGGACGAAGAGGCAGATATTAAGGAGGATGAATCGCACCCACCAGGATGTGCCACGGACTGATAAATTCTCCCTGTGAGAGGAAAGCATGACTAGGACATGGTGTGGAGGAAAAGCCATGCATCCTGGGCATCTCAGCCCAGCTCCCTGAGCTTCTGCCTCCTACTACCTGCACCAGCCATCCTGGCAGCCATTGCTCCGAGCTCACCCATCCTGTGCTGCTGCGCTGATACCTGCAGAGCCCCCAGGACTAGAGAATGGCCACAGGGGGAATCTGTACCACCAGGAGGCTTTGAAGTGAAGCTGGAGAAACCAGAGCCTGGCAATCACCCCACACCTTGCCTGACCAAGACCTGGCCTCTGTTAGGTGATCACCCCAGCCACCCCTGTTGACTTCTGCTGTCATTACAGGAGGGACTATCGGCCCCTGCCATCTTGGGAAAGTGCCCTATAGATACGGGCACAGGTATTCTACAGCTATGTGGGCTCCCTATAGGTACAGGTACAAGTTCCCCCCAACTGCTCTCCCCCCCCCCCCCTCCATCCAACCACAGGGGTTCACCAGATGATATCGCTGGGTGCAGGGGCATAGCAAATGCCCCAGTGATGTGACTTGACCACGGTGGTGACAGAGGACTGCTGGGGGTGCTTGCGGCAGCGAATGTGGCTGTAGTCCTTCAAAATCCTGCAGGAGGAGGGAGCCAGGGGTCAGGCCCAGATAAAGGGCTACCCCTGAACCTTCTTCTAAGACACTGCCTGCAACCCCAGAAGAGCAGCCATCTCTGCAGATGGCAGAGACACCCAGGAGACAGACCCACCGCCTGGCTTTGGCTGGGGAAGTGGGCAAGGTGACCCCCAGCAGCAGTGGCCACCAGGCTGGGGGACATCCCCATGCCATTGCACGAGGGGTACTCACACAGCCGTCATCCGCTCATCCTGGAAGGTGACAAAGGCCATGTCAAGCCGCTTGAGTGTGATGCGGTTGCGCTCAGCATTGAACTCATCTGTGAGCTTCTCCTCCAGCTCCCCATAGTACTGCTCAGCATCCACCTGTGGGAGCAGCCAGGGCTCTGCCGCACTCGCTGGGCTGGGGCACAGGCAAGCTGCATGCTCTGCCTTGCCTGTGGTGGCAGCCTGACTGTGCCTGCCCACAGCCCTGCTCGCACCCTCCTACCTGCTCAAAGCCACAGAAGCGGCAGCAGAAGATGCGGGCACACGGGTGGGTTTTGATCATGATCTTCCCCTCTTTCTGTGCCTTGGTGGTGAAGTAAAGCCGTCCCTTCATTGCCTTGCGCCTTCCAGGAAGTCAACAGGGGAAAGGGTCATTTGGGAAGTGGCAGACAGACAGAGAGTGAGACTACATCCCTCAACATGGTGGGCAGGAGCAGTACCCCCACCTGCAGAGGCAATGGGGACCTACTAGCACTCACCTCTCTGCATCCAGCTTCATCAGCTTGCGCACATCAAAGCAGAACTGGACATTGGTGACGGTGCAGCTGGGATAAGCCTCACTGTGGGCACAGCGACACAGTGGCACAAAGAGGCAGGCAGCAGGGATGGGGACAGCCTTTGCCACCTGCCTGCCAGCCACCCAGACGGGTGCACCAGTACTCACTGGAAATGCTTGATGATAAGGGAAGGGTCTGTGATCTCCTTGGGGATGTGGGTAACCATCAGCGTCCGGGCGACCTGGGGAAGGGGGGCAGAGGGGACAGGTGGGCAAGGGATCTGTGGGGCATCTCACTGCTACTCTGCTCGCCCAGCCACTGGGAAGGCAGAAGCGAGCCGAGGCACCAGCTGCCACGCTGGAGGTCAGCACAGACCTCCCTAATGCCCAGCGGGTTGGAACTAGATGATCTTGATGTGCTTTCCAAACCTAACCATTCTATGATTCTGTGATTCTGTGCTCATCCCAGAAGCTGGGGACATTGCTGGACACTGTCACCTCCCAGAGAAACAGCAGAACTTCAATCTCAAGAGACAAGGCAGAAGGAAAAAGATCTGCCACCAGGTGGCCAGGTTTTCTCCAGAAGCTGGAGAAAACCAGCGATCTCTTTGCCTGCCGGTCCAGACTGTTTTTAAAGCTCTCCCTACCGACTGGGACTATCCTTCCCACAAGGTATAAAGTTGTCCCTTAGCACTGAACAAGGCAGAGCTGGAGGAGGGATGGTTGCTCACCTTCTCATTCTCTCTGTATTCAAGATGCACAGAGTGGTGGGCCATGCAGAGGATTGTGAGGATGAAATAGATGAGGGCAAAGATGCTGTGCAGCCACAGGAGACGGTCCCTGGAGGAGGGGAAGAGGAGATCAGTGAGCATTGTGGCAGGCATGTGGCATTCAGACCAGTCTGGCAGTCAGAGTTTCATGTTTGACCACCCCAGCCACCCAGTGGGACCTCTACTTCAGGGCTGCTGAACCCTCACCCTGAGGACAAGAGGGGCAGTGTCAAGGTGTTGGCTGAAACACTACAGAGCTGAGGCCATCCTGCACCCCTAGGAGCACTTCTGCTGGCAGCAGGGTGCAGTCAGCAGTGCCAGCATGCTGGCCACCACAACTGTGTTCATATGTGATGCAGAAAGACGGGGGCCTACTGCAAGCAGCATGCTGCTCACATGGACCTGTCTCTGTCCTTGGCATGGGGCTGTCACCAGCACTGTGCCTCAGTGCTCTGAGCAGTGCCCACCATAGTGGCAGCACCCACAGCCCTCCCTGGACATGGGAGCCACGTACTGCGTCGGGATGTTGGCGATGGTTGTCCGGCCGAAGTGGGTGGGATTGTGTCCTGCAGGGGAAGAGGAGAAACGGGATGTTAAGGGAACAATGTGGTGTGCATGCCTGTGCTCACATGGTTAATTGCTCTGGTCTTTGCTCCCTCCTTTTCCACCTCCCAAGGCATCCACCAAACCCCTGCTGCCCTGGAGCTCCCTGCCTTTTGCATTCTTCTGTCTGACAGCTGATGGTGGGTTCCTGCTCACATAGGGGCTCCTGATGGAGAGGCTCTTCTGCCCTCTGTCCCAGCAGCACAGAGCTCACCCTGAGGCTGGGGAGCCTGCACCACAGTCCAGAGCCATGCCGAAGCTGGGGAAGCACCTACCCAGGAGGTCCCCTGAGAAGTTGACGGGCAGGATGACAGCCACGGAGAGCATGCAGACCAGCATCAGCAGGACCAGGAGGTGCCGCTGGAAGGACAGGTAGGTGGTGGCATCGATCCCACACTTGCTCTGAATCTCCTCGTCCCTGGGAGAGAGACAGGTGGGGGTGAGCACTGGTGGTGCCTACCCGTCACCTCCCACCCTGAGGACCCTGGCTGCTCCAGCCTCACATAACCCACATCAACTGATGGCATCCTGCCTGTGGCAAATAGTATTTGGGCACAGAGTGGATGAGGGACACAAGCAGCCCTTGGGCTGTCACCCCATTACAGGACCAGCTCCTACCAGAAGAGGTTGAAGACCTTTTCTTTGGGATAAGATCCAGGGGCCAGGAGAAAACACGGGTGAGTCTGCTCTCTCTGGAGAGGATGTTTTAAGAGGGCTCTGCTCTGCTGCTGGTACCAGCAGCTCCAGGTGGTGGGCCAACACATATGGGCACCAGCTCCCCACGGGCAACTAGTGGTGGGGGCATGGCTGTGATGCAAGGGACACACACTTACTTCATCTGGTAGATAGAAAGGAGCCAGGAGCAGAATCCCTGGAAGGAAAAAGAGTGAGGGTGAGCCAGGGGTGACCACCCCAAAACCTCACTGATGAGGATCCAGGGCTTGACACATGCTGGGGACACATGCAGAGGTGGTGCGGTGCTGAGGCTCAGCCCCCAGCTCCGGGATGCTCAGCCCAGTCGCTCGTCTGCAGCGGTGGCAAAGGCAGCTGCCTTGAGAGGAACAGGAAACACGGGGCACCACTGCAACACAGGCTCCTGGCTTCCAGCAACATCCTCCTCTGCCCCCCTCCCCGGCAGTTCCTGACGTGCAATGCGCTTTTTTGGCCACTGAGCGCTGAGCCGACACTGCTGTAGAGTGATACAGGAGCACTAATATCTTGTGTAATACCTTATTCTCTGTCATTGCATATATGATATTAGGGGTTTTCTCCCCTGTGCGTTATTTTACATTCTACCGACACCGGAATTCATGCAAGTTCGACGTCCTCACAGTCATGGCTGTACAGAATAATACGCAGCCATCTGATACCTCCTCTTCACCCCGTTCTGGAGGATTTATGCCGGCCTTGGACAGGAGGGACCACAGGCAGCCTGCTGCAGAATTCCCTTACCCAGCTCTGTGAGAGCTGGCAGCTTCTTCCTCCTCTCCATCCCCTGCCTTTACTCATGCCAGGACCTTCCCTCCTACCTCACAGCTCAGCTTAGTTTGATTAACTGCAGCTGGAGGCTTTGGAGGTGCAGACATCCCTGTGCCCCCAGCAACTCCATGGGGAGCCAACACCCCCTTAGCACAATCAGGCTGACTCCCCCCCTGCACCCCACTCTGAAGCTCTGCTCTGCAAAACCATGTCTTGGAGGCTGTCCATGCAGACCCCAATTTTCCTGGAATGTAATTTCTTGAATTTCCAGAAGCCTTCCTGAAAACCAGCATTTATGAGCTGGTTCCCATGTCTCTAGGATCCCCACGTGCAGGAGAGAGGATGGACACAGCTGTCAGTAGCTTGGCTATTTGTCTCAGGGGGAGTGAGAAGTCCTGTGCCGGCTACCAGGAATTTGTGATGGTAGTGAGTATTTGTCAAGCTGCTTTTATTGCAAACTTATCCTCCAGTCCTGCTGCTGGAGGGTTGCTTTGGTGCTTCCCCACAGAGAAGGGCTCCCACGCAGGAATTTGTTCAAGCTCCTCCTCACTGGATACAGGAACCAAACATTTACTAAGCTTTCCTGCCACATTCTCACCTTCTCCAGCAAGTGTTTTCTATCTTCAACATCTACCAATCAGCCCTATAACCCTCTGGCAGGTTTCCTGTTCTTCATTCATGAGAAAAAATCCAGTACTTGCTTTTATGCACTCTACAAATTTCTCCTCAAATCTGTTCTTCTCATCCCTTAGTGCATTTCAAATCTGACCTGGCAAAATTTAGATTTTTCTCATTTGGGAACAGCTTGGCTCTTAAAAAGATGTCTTCCTGCTTCTAATAATCTCCCTCAATCTGCTCTTTAGCTGTTCTGGCTTTCCCTGGGGTCTTTCTCCCTTAGTTTTTGATGAGCGATAATTATTTGCCCAGAGTATAGAGTCTTTAAACAGGACTCCTGCCACCTGCAAGGATTTTGCTTCTTTACCTTTCCTACCTAGTTTTTTTTAGTAAGTCATGTAATTCTTTTCATAGTCACATATAATGACTGATTTCTGAGTTTCTGCTGCCAAAAAATAAAGAGACAGACAGCAAAATGTGTCTGTCTGTGCCTGTTTCCAGCAAAGCCTGGTTCATGCCTGGTGTGGCAGAGAGAAAAAAAGGATGACTTAAAAAGATGATACCAGCAGAGGTGGAGGTGTGATCCAGGGGACTCTGACCTGTTTGGACCAGAAAGGCTCCTGCAGGCATACAAAGCTCTGGTCTTGCATTTGACTAGGTCCCTGCAGCCAGCAGATGCTTGCCTTGGCAGGAGCATCCCCTCCTAGCTGCAATTCAAGGTAGATGCCTCAAAACAAGCCATGACAAAGAAACTGCTGCTAACAGGTGTTAAGCAGGAAACCCTGCGCTGGAGTGTTTAATTTCACCCATTTAACTTCTGAGCTGGGTTTCTGGTGAAGAGCAGGGTGGGTTGGGCAGGGACAAGCCCAGCCAGGGCTCCCATTGCCATGGCCATCAACACTTACCATGTCTTTGTTGTCGGTGTCCAGGGGGCTGCTCTCTGATGGGGACTTCTCCTTCTCACTCTGCTCTCCATAGAAAAGTGATGTCAGACTGCAGTGAGGAGAAGAGCAGAGAGGTGAGGCAGGAAAGAAGCAGCAGACAGGAGAGCATGAGCGCTCTTCGACAGACTTCTAGGGAGCAGCTGAGGAAACGCCTTCCCTCTCCCCACACCCTGCACTGGGGCTGGACCAGCAACCACCACTGGGCTTGGGGCGGGTGCTGCATCCTGCTGCCTCTGTGCTGACAATTCCCTGTACCTTCTCTGTGGCCCTGGCCCACAGTGGGGTGGCCCATGAAGACTATGACTTAGGCCAAGGACAAGTGGCTGGCTGAACTATATTTTTTCTCTTCCACTAGTTTCAACCCTCCGAAATGGTGTTACAGTAACAAGGAATGTAATCTGAGTTTGCATTTAAAGTCTTGATTGCCCCTTTCACCTCCCTGGTGGATGGAAACATGTCTGTCTGTTGCCAGACTCAGCTACAGAGCCTGAGGCCAAAGAGAGCTGGGGAGGGGAGAAGGCAGGAAAAGGCCTTTTACAGAGTTTTCTCCTGTGGGCTGCTCAGCCTTGCAGACACCACCTGCCTGTGCAAAGCTGCTTTGCTGCCTGGGGCAAGCTGTGCTCTGGCAGGCAGATGCTGGCAGCACAATGCACCTGGAAATTGGTCTGGGCTCTGCTTGCACCAGATCAACCGTGTTTTTGGTGAAATTCTGCATGTACCCTGAAGACTGGGCCAGGCAAGCTGCCCTGTGACATGAGGAGCAGTATTACTGCTGTGGGTCTGCCTCCTGGGCTGGCCACCCCTGCTTATCCTGAGAGAGCAGCAGCGGGAGAGGCAGCAGCTCAGCTCTCACTTGAAAGCAGCTCTTGGGCCTCTGTCCTGCCCATGACAGTGCCCTCTCTGGCATCAAGAGCACAGTCACCAGACAATGCCTGCAAGAGGGAATCAAAGCTGGCCCAGGCTTTCCCTCTCCCTGCAGAAAAGAGTGCCCATACCTCCATGGGCAATGGCAGCCAGGCAATTCCCAGTGGGAAGGAGGGATAGGAACACCTGCTGAGCTTCTCCGTGGGCCACCCTGCAGTGCTAGTCCTCTTGGAAAGGCTAGAGACATCACCAGTGGTGGCCTTGCATCCTCCTCACCTATCATTGTCCATCAGCAGAGCCAGGCGCCCATAGTCCCAAGCTGCTTTCCGAAGGCAGGAGAAGATCAGGAGGAGAAGCTGGAAGAAGATGGAAGAGGAGAGGTGGAGGGTTTTGCTGTGAGGTCTCACCTGGTGGGTTCTCCTCACATCCCACCTTTTTGTTTTCTCACCCCTGAGCCCAAGCTGGTGCAACACTCTTAGCTCAAGCCAAACTGCTCCTGTCCCTGATCTCACAATTTCTGCCCCAGTGCCACCTGCTGCTCACCAGGACGTGGGCAAAGCTCTTGGTCCCCTGCACACACCCCTGTTACCCCAGTCAGCCAGATGCACTAATACATAGGCTGCTCTTGCATGTGGCTTCAAGTGCACCCATAACACACACATCCCCCCTATACTCACAGCCAGTCTTTGACACCACAGACTGTGGTGCTATAACGTGGCACCCTCCTGGCACACTCACCAGCCAGAGGATGAAGTTGATGGCGAGCACGGTGGGCACACCACCGAACGGCAGCCCTTCCAGGACGGTGCTGCGGGAGCGGGCGCTGAAGCATTGCTCCTCTGTGCTGTTCACCAGCGTATCCAGGAAGTTGAGCACATCCAGCGAGGTGGGGCTGGCACCCTCAGCTGCGGGCTCCACTGAGTACACGCTCTCCATCAGTGGTGTCGTTGGCCTCACCCTGCAAGACAGGGACAGTGGTACAGATGGAGAAGCTTCTGCTTGAAAAGGGGCTCTTCCAGGTCCCCCAGAAAGGTCTGAGGAGCTCACTAAGGGCAGGGAGGGGAGCGGACTAGCTGGTGACCTTGGAGTTCCCCCAGTCCTACTTTTTCCCAGGATGGGGCTATGGAACACAGGGCAGTAGGTAATGCTGGAGAAATCTCACAGTACCTCCTTCCCTTTCCCCACCCCACTAAACCCCATGCTACTTGGTTGTCTCCATCACACCTGAGACAGGTCTTTCAACACCTCTGCCCCTCGGTCCTGGAAGCTGGTTGAGTCATGGCCATGCTGGTGTGGTCAGCAGGCAGGAATGAGGAGCCAAAGCATTTGGATGAGTTTCTGAGAATAAGAACAATAATGACATTAACAACTGGGTTGCCGGAACTGTGCCTGCTTTGCTCCCCACTGCCAGATATCTACTGTGTGTAAAGCATTCCTAAGCCCTCCCTTCTCCTCCAGCATCACAATATGTGTGACTTGGGGGTCATGGGACCTCCAGTCTTTCCAGCAGAGCAGAACTGCTCCTTCCAAGATATCTTGATGTCTTCAGAAGAATCAGCTTCTCAAAACCCTAAATTTCAGGTTTCCCTCCACTTTCCCAGGAGCTCATACCACAGGCTACAGTCCTCACTAGCAGCAAACACTATTAACGGCCAAGACTGTGGCTTGCTTCCAAAAACCTGTCCTATCACCATGCTTTAAGTAGGAGAGGATCCACTCCAAACCTGCAGCACTTGAGATCCCTGGGAAGAAACACCATATAGCAGCCAGCATGGCTATTAATCATGGGGATGTCAAGGACCTGTGTGCCAAGACAGTTCTGAACAGCCACTGCACTCACCAGAAGGACAGGAGGGGGAAGGAGCACATCACACCCTAACAAACACAGCATGGGGACATCAGGGCCAGAGTCTCTTCTCCACGTGTTTCGGCCTGCCTGCTCCTGTACTTTGGAGGCCCCACCAGCACCTTTAGCCAGCTGCTTCTGGTGCCTGGAGAGCTGTGTGGCCTTCAGAGGAGGACAGCTATGACTGTGGTGAGGCCAACCACATCACTAGGGTGAGAGGCACCCTGGGACAGTGGGGATGTCTTTGGGGTGCTCTCATGGTGGTTAATAGGTTGTTAGGGGGCTTTCAAAATGGCTACCAGGTTGGGTCCCTAAAGTCTCTTCTGAAAAGGCTTCAAGTTAGGATAGAATCATAGAATAGTTAGGGTTGGAAAAGATCTTAAGATCATCAAGTTCCAACCCCCCTGCCATGGGCAGGGACACCTCACACTAAACCATCTCACCCAAGGCCTCGTCCAACCTGGACTTGAACACCGCCAGGGATGGAGCATTCACAACTTCCCTGGACAGCCCATTCCAGTGCCTCACCACCCTAATAGGAAAGAATCTCTTCCTTATATCCAATCTAAACTCTCCCTGTTTAAGTTTTAACCCATTACCCCTTGTCCTATCACTACAGTCCCTAATGAAGAGTCCCCCCCCAGCATCCCTATAGCCCCCCTTCAGGTATGGAAGGCTGCTATGAGGTCTCCACACAGCCTTCTCTTCTCCAGGCTGAACAGCCCCAACTTCCTCAGCCTGTCTTCATACAGGAGGTGCTCCAGTCCCCTGATCAACCTCATGGCCCTCCTCTGCACTTGTTCCGACAGTTCCATGTCCTTTTTATGTCGAGGACACCAGAACTGCACACAATACTCCAGGTGAGGTCTCACAAGAGCAGAGTAGAGGGGCAGGATCACCTCCTTCAACCTCCTGATCACTCTCCTTTTGATGGAGCCCAGGATACGGTTGGCTTTCTGGGCTGTGAGTGCACACTGAAGCCGGCTCATGTTCATTTTCTCATCGACCAACACCCCCAAGTCCTTCTCTGCAGGGCTGCTCTGAATCTCTTCTTTGCCCAACCTGTAGCTGTGCCTGGGATTGCTCCAACCCAGGTGTAGGACCTTGCACTTGGCATGGTTAAACTTCATGAGGTTGGCATCAGCCCACCTCACAAGTGTGTCAAGGTCCCTCTGGATGGCATTCCTTCCCTCCAGGGTATCAACCGAACCACACAGCTTGGTGTCATCAGCAAACTTGCTGAGGGCGCACTCAATCCCACTGTCCATGTCAGCGACAAAGATGTTGAACAAGACCGGTCCCAACACTGATCCCTGAGGGACACCACTCGTTACTGGTCTCCAGCCGGACATTGAGCCATTGACCACAACTCTTTGCGTGCGGCCATCCAGCCAGTTCTTTATGCACTGGGTGCCCCATCCATCACATTGATGTCTCTTCAATTTAGAGACAAGGATGTCATGTGGGACAGTGTCGAATGCTTTGCACAAGTCCAGGTAGATGACATCAGCTGCTCTACCCCGTCCATCAGTTCTGTAGCCCCATCATAGAAGGCCACCAAATTGGTCAGGCAGGATTTCCCCTTAGTGAAGCCATGCTGGCTGTCACCAAGCACCTTGTTGTTTTTCTTGTGCCTTAGCATGCCTTCCAGGAGAATCTGCTCCAAGATTTTGCCAGGCACAGAGGTGAGACTGACTGGTCTGTAATTCCCTGGGTCATCCATTTTCCCCTTCTTGAAAATGGGGGTTATATTTCCCTTTTTCCAGTCATCGGGAACTTCACCTGACTGCCATGATTTCTCAAATATGATGGCCAGCGGCTTCGCAACTTCATTTGCCAGCTCCTTCAGGACCTACGGATGGATTCCATCAGGTCCCATGGACTTGTGCATGTTCAGGTTCTTAAGATGGTCTCAAACCAGATCCTCTCCTACAGTGGGCACAAGGTCTTCATTCTCACAGTCCCTGTGTCTGCCTTCCAAGACTTGGGTGGTGTGGTCAGACCATTTGCCAGGGAAGACTGAGGCAAAGAAGTCATTCAGAACCTCAGCCTTCTCCAAATCCAGGGTAGCCACTTCTTCTGATAGCTTCCAGAGGGGGCCCACATTGTCCCTAGTCTGTTTTTTATTTGCAATGTACCTATAGAATCCCTTCCTGTTATCTTTAACATCCCTAGCCAAGTTTAATTCTAACTGGGCCTTAGCTTTCCTAACCTGGTCCCTAGCTTCCCGAACAACATCCCTGTATTCTTCCCAGGCTGCCTGTCCTTGCTTCCACCTTTTATAAGCCTCTTTCTTCCTTCAAATTTTCCTCAGCAGCTCCTTATCCATCCAAGGAGGTCTCCTGGCCCTCCTGCTGCACTTCCATCTAGTTGGGGTGCAACACTCCTGAGCTTGCAGTAGGTGATCCTTGAATATCAACCAACAGTCTTGGGCCCCCCTGCCCTCTAGGGCTATATCCCATGCAACCTTACTAAGCAGGTTCCTGAAGAGGCCAAAGTTGCTCTTTTGAAGTCCAGGGCAGTGAGCTTGCTGCACGCTCTTCTCACTGCCCTGAGGATCTCAAATTCGAGCATCTTATGATCACTGCACCCAAGGCTGCCCTGGAGCATCACATTTCCAACGAGCCCTTCCCTGTTGGTGAGCGCAAGGTCAAGCATGGCACCTCTCCTTGTCAGCTCCTCTATTACTTGTAGAAGGAAGCTGTCTTCACACAATTGAGGAACCTCCTGGATTGCTTGTGCCAGGCTGTACCATCGTTCCAACAGATGTCAGGGTGGTTGAAATCCCCCATGAAAACAAGGCCTGCAAGAGTGAGGCTGTTCCTATCTGTCTATAGAGTGCTTCATCCACAGATTCCTCTTGATCAGGCGGTCTGTAACAGATCCCCACAGTAATGTCTCCCATAGCTATATTCCCTTTAACCCTGACCCACAAACTCTCTGTGGACTCCTCACCTGTCCCCAGACAGAGTTCCATACTCTCCAGCCTATCCCTAACATAAAGGGCAACTCCCCCTCTCTGTCTGCCAACCCTGTCTTATCTAAAGAGCCTGTAACCTTCCATTCCAACACTCCAGTCATAGGAGCCATCCCACCATGTTTCTGTGATGCCTATTATATCATACCTCCATAGACGTGCACACATTTCTAATTCCTCTTGTCTGCTCCCCATGCCACGGGCGTTTGTATAGAGGCATCTGAGCCGAGCTCCAAATGAAGCCAGCTCACTGGTTGGAGCGGCTGGAATATCTCTGCATTGCTCTGAGCATTTATTACAGGTGCTTGCAACTGACTGGGTGTGTTGGGATGGAATGATGCCCCCCTTCCCCAACACATCTAGTTTAAAGCCTCCTTGACCAGTCTGGCAAGCCTCCTACCAAAACCACGACCAGCTGCACCAGCCCCCAGTAGACCTGGCCTCCTAAATTGTGTCCCACGTTCTAGATACCCAAACCCCTGACTATGGCACCACCCTTCTAACCATTTATTAACCTGGCCAATCTTCCTAACCTTTTTAAGGTCCTCCCCTTTATCCTGGAAAATTGATGAATAGACTGTCTGAGCTCCAGAGCCCCTAACCACCTCTCCCAGGGCTCTGTATCCTTCTTTATGTTCTCCGGGCTACTGCTATCTGTACCACTAGCACCCACATGGATCACTAGAAGTGGGGGTAATAGTCCATGGGACTTACTAGAGCAGTCAGCCTCTCTTCAACATCCCTGATCTGTGCCCCTGGTAGGCAATACACCTCCCTTGAGACTGGGTCAGGCCGACAGATGGGTGTCTCTGTTCCTTTCAAAGTAGATGTACCATATGTCTGGTACTTTTTAGGCAGGTAATTCTAGAGGGCTAAAAATCCTGCTTAGAGGAAGACAGAGGTTACTGGTGGGGGGTAGGAAGAGATAGACAAAGAAGCATTGTCTCGGGACAATGCTTTGAAGTTGGCCTGGTCCCAAACAAGGACATTTATCAGATGACCTCCAAGGGGGCCCTTCCAACTGCAGCTATTCTACATCCCTATTCCTGGGGACTTGTGCTCCTGACAAGAACATCTGGCCAGCCTAAAGTTTATAAGGAGTTACATGAGTGCCTTGTCCTGCAGACATGCTGAGCACAGTATATTGTTACCACTATATTGTGGTCATTGCAAAGGCCACATGAAACCTCAGCACGCATACTTATTAACACTCCTCTGAGCCTTGTACGCAAGCCACTGGGCATTATTTCCTCTCCCTCCTTTTTATCTATATTCCAGTCACAACAGGGACCATGCTGCAGCCCCTGCAGTCACCCAGCAACAGCTGATCCCTGCTGCAGGATGCTCTCAGCCCACACGAACAGGATGGAAGAACAGCAGGAGTCACAGTCCGATTAAGCAATGGAGAATGCAAAGACAGACAGCACCTCCAGGGACCTGGAGATGCAAAGTGTTTATGGTCGTTTTTCCTAGACAGGATCAACTCTTCTTAAACACCAAAGGAAACCTGACTGG